GGCCTCAAGCGATCCCTTTACCTTAGCCTCTAGAGCACGTGAGACCATAGGCATGCACCACCACACCCAGCTAATTTTTAATTGAGATGAGGTCTCACTATGTTGCCCAGGCTGGTCTTGTCTAACTCTTGGCCTCAAGCAATCCTCTCTCCTTAGCCTCCTGAGTCATAGGGATTACAGGTGTGAGTCACCATCCTTGTCCTCCTATTGGTAGGATTCAATGTGACATTGTGTTGGTCATCTGTGATCTGCTTGTTCAACATCCCTCCCATATTCCTTTATTTTTTTTTTGAGATAGAGTCTTACTCTGTTGCACAGGCTGAAATACAGTGGCATAATCTCTGGTCACTGCAACCTTCACCTCCTGGGTTCAAGTGATTCTCCCGCCTCAGCTTCCCAAGTAGCTGGGATTACAGGTGCTCAACTGTAATTGTGAGCTAATTTATTGTATTTTTAGTAGATATGGGTTTCACTATGTTGGCCAGGTTGGTCTTGAACTCCTGACCTTGTGATCCACTCACCTCAGCCTCCCCAAATGCTGGGATTACAGGAGTGAGCACCGCACCCAGCCTCCTTCCATATTCATTTGAAACTATTCCTCCCCTTTTTTTTTCTTGGGAGGACTATTCCCCCATTTCTAGTCCATGTGATTTGGGAAAGGCTGACCCACCCTGGACAATCAGATCAGCATGTAGTTAAATCAGAAATGGGCATGTGACCCAACCTAGGCCCATGAAACTCATCCCTGCACTTTTGCTGAAACTGCTGAAAATGAAGTGCTTTCTTTTCATTGGAATAGCTACTTGCAAGGCAGCAAGTAACATGGAATTTCTGGGGCCATCTTTGCTCCTCTCTTGAAATAGGCTGCCTGAAAAATGGAGCCAACACAGAAGACATGAAGGAACAGAATGAGTCTTGGTTGATATTAGCTGACCCCTGATCCCATCGAGCCAGAAGCCATCTACTCATGAACATTTTTAGTTATGAGAGCCAAATAATTCGCTGCCTTGCTGGATTGAGTTAGGTTTCAGTCACTTGCCGTAAAGAGAGTCCTGCCTCATGTCCCTTTGTTTTAGGCTTAGGTCCCACCTCCTAGAGCTTTAGCGCTGTAAAAAGGGTAAAGTGAACCCGGGCAGTGCTGAGCTAGCCAGTCTCCTGGCTGTGTGTGCAGAGAACCCTGGAATTACTACGACCCTGGTCTGATAGTAGCCTTGCCTGCTGCTTACCATGCAGCCATAGGGATATTGCTTCCCTGAGCCCTGAGGCACTATATCTCTTTTTAAAAATAATTTTTAGGGCTGGGCATGGTGGCTCATGCCTGTAATCCCAGCCATTTGGGAGGCTGAGGTGGGTGGATCACTTGAGGTCAGGAGTTCAATACCAGCCTGGCCAATATGGTGAAACCCTGTCTCTACTAAAAATACAAAAATTTGCTGGACCTGATGGTAGGCACCTGTTGTCCCAGCTACTTGGGAGGCTGAGGCAGGAGAATTGCTTGAACCCAGGAGGTGGAGGTTGCAGTGAGCTGAGATTGCATACTGCACTCCAGCCTGGTGACAGAGTGAGACATTATTTCCAAAAAAAAAAAAAGATTTTTATTTAGGTCAGATGTAGTGGCTCACACCTGTAATCCCAGCATTTTGGGAGGCCGAGGCAGGCAGATTACTTGAGGTAAGTAGTTTGAGACTAGCCTGGCCAACATGGCAAAACTCTGTCTCTACTAAAAATATAAAATTAGCTGGGTGTGGTGCCTCACTCCTGTAATCTTAGCTACTTGGGAGGCTGAGGCATGCAAATCACTTGAGCCTGGGAAGTGGAGGTTGCAGTGAGTTGAGATCGGCCACTGCACTCCAGCCACGGCGACAGAGTGAGACTTTGTCTGAAAAAAATAGAAGATTTTTATTTAAAAAATGTTTTGTAGAGATGGCATCTTGCTATGTTGCCCAGGCTGTTCTGAAACTCCTAGCCTAAAGCTCTGGGATTATAGATGTGAGCCACTGTGCTTAGCCAGTACTATACTTGTATTCGTTGCCAGTGCTTGCTTTGTTCTGTATTTTCTAGTGTGTGCTTGAGTGTGAGTGTATGTGTGTGTGTGAGCATGTGTGTAAATGTGTGTGTGTTCCCTTTACTCTTACCTTGCAGGGTTATGGCAAACATCAAGTGGGATAATGCAGACACAGCACTCAGCCCAGTGCCTGGCACATACTGTGAGTGCTCTCTTCCTTCCCCTTTTCTCCTCCTGATTCAGAAAATGAATTAAGGATCCATGATGTGTTCCAATTTTCAATGCCCTCGATAAATAATAGGGAGTTGGAGTACCGTTGGCAGAAATTTGCACTAGTTTTAATTAATTTTATCTGTTTAGAGTAAGATATCTCAAAGTCACTGAATAAATTTATGTCACATATGTTTATGCACATCAGTATTTTTCTTGAAAGCCGACAGCCTTAGTCCTTGTTTTGTTCCCTGATGCTGCAGCAGAGGCCAAATGTGTCTTGATTTCTTGAGTGATGACTGCCAGCTCTCCAAGTGTCACAGTAGGTGAGACCTCCATGGGAGCAGGTGCCAAGGATGACTGCAGCCAGTCAGCATCTGCAAGCCCATTTTGTCTATTCTCTTTGTTTTTGTAATACAAATATAATTTGTAATAAATTTATTCTTAAGTTATGAATATGTTTATACGTTTATTAATACATTTAATGTTTATATTTGTAAATATAAACTTTACAAAGCACAAAGTTTATATGTATAAACTTTAAATATGTGTTGACTTATCCATATAAGTTTTTGTAACTTACATGGATAAGGCAAAACATGTAGAGTATATAAAATATTAATGTTCTTCCCATTTTAACCCCACCCTCTGAAGTAAACACTATAGCCAGCTTCATGTGTATCCCTCTACATTTTTTATATACTACATGTTTTCCCACATTTTTCCACTTATATACATTTTCCTACTTTCTTTTTCACATGTGCAAATGTATAAACATACATATTTACTTATAGAATACTCCTTTTAATTTTCTAAAGCAAAATAAGATCATATTCTGTACCTTGAGCCCTTCCTTCCATCCTTCCTTCGTTCCTTCCTTTTTTCTTTTTCTTTCTTTTTCTCTCTCTCTTTCTCTCTCTCTCTTTTTCCCAACTTCTTTTACTTTTTTTTAAAACCTAATAATCCTGTGCCTCTTTTTGGGTCAATGTAGGTAGATCTAACTCCTTCTTCATAGTTGCTTGCCTTCCATTGTATGATTGTACCATGATTGATTTATTTAACTGATCTCCTATCAATGGATTTTTCAGGTCCTTAATAGCTTTTTGTAATTACACATAATGCTGACATAAATACACTTGCAAATATGTATTTTTTTTTTATCAAGGAAACATTTGGTTAGTCTACTCCCTTGCTCATGTGTCACATATGAAGGACACTACTACATCAACCCTTACTCTATCTGCCAGTCTGCCACATGAGAAGGCATCCTTTCAACTCCCTTTCCCACAGCATGTTTTTAGCAGAGCCTTGTTGGGAAAAGCACCACTTTATAAATGTAGAACCCGGACCCAAATGTAAGACCAGCCTCATTCCAGATCTAGCCGGGATCAGTGATTTCTCTGCCCCTCCCATTCTCCGGGCCTCATGTGCCCTGAGCATCTCGGCTGCCTCCATGGTCAGTGACAAGCTGTAATTGGAGCGAAAGGGCTTTGAAGTTCCCATAAATGAGACAATAAATCTCTGCTCTCCAGGGATGAAGGGAAGTGTCTGTGCCTACTGAATGGCCGCAACAGTGCTGTGTATATAGTAACTACTTAATATGAAATAAGAACAATAAATCCGGTGGTTGAAGAGATCCCTTTGAAGTTCAGGTCGACTTTGAGCCATCTGAGAAGAATGAATGGAATGGGTAATTGAAATTCATCGATAATGCCCAAACCTCAACTTACTAGTTAATGGGGTTAGGCTCTTTACCTATTAAACCCTTTGAGATACTCAATTAGAGAACTGCTAAAATAAATTACCTCCTTTCATTTATTTTTTCATTGTTGTGGGGCAGATGAAATTGAGCTGTGAAATGGCCATCAGGAAGGTGGCAGGAGAACGAGTCAGGAGTCCTGTGTGAGACATCCGCAAACATCTCAGAAGCAGCTTCTAAATCACACAGCATCAAGGCTGCCAAGGCACCTGGCCAATTTTGGACCTAGAGACCTAAGAATAGGTCTCCCTGTGGATTCCTCCTGAACTGGGTGGGGCAAGGCTGTAGGAAAATAGGTCAAATGACTCTCAGTCTAGAACCGTCTGGCCAGAGATGCCCCAACTTTTCCTTTTGGGCTATTCATCAAATCTAGCCTTTAGGACGTGAAGTCAGGGTTTCATTTTATGGGAGGATCTGGGTACATTTTGGTTAAAAGAAGTGATGTCATCACATCCCTGCTGAGAAAAGGAAAAAGGACCCACTCTGTGCTGACACACTGAGTCCTGGGCAGGGAATTCCGACAGATACCTGGGTCTACACCTGGCTTTTCTACCAGTCACTCTGTGACTCTGGGACCGTTGTGTTAGCTTTCTCTGCCATAGTTCCTCCCTCTGCAAAACAGAGGGCTTGAAATGCAGGATTGCAAGATTGTGGCCATCTCTGACTCTGAGAACAACCCCGTGAGCCTGAAGAATTCAGCACTGCTGCTCCATAGGGGGTTTCGGCAGGAAGCGGGCACAGATGGCTTTCTCTGGAATGTGTTCAGAAATGTGGTGTGTGATGTACGGTGTGAATGAAGCGTGGTGCCCTTTAAACACAGCTTCCCCCTGGGAGTGCTCCGAGCTCCCCAAGCTCTCTGGCTCACATTCCAGTGTCACTCTGGGTACAGGCAGCCCTCACGCGCTTGTGCACTGAGCACACACACGCACCCCGCCCCAATTGACAGTTGATGACTCACAACTGATACAATCATTACACACGCGGGATGACTCAGCGGGGACCTCACACACATGGACTCACGCTCACCGTGACGTGTAGAAGTGGCTGTGCCCACAGCGTCAGGCACCCCCGGCACAGCAGCCTCGGTGGAGGCTCTCGCTGGCGGCGTCTGCAAATGATTTGCATTCTTGGCTCTTTGGAACTGCCTGTTCTTTGTCTTTCTGTTCACCGCTCAACCCTTTCCTTCCTTTCTGTCCCAAACTTGGCTGGTTTTAGTCTCTTGCTCCCAAACTCCTTCAGCCTGCTTCTTGGACTAACTCAGGCAATCTCTGAGACTCCTGCCAACTCCAAGGTTGCTTCTAATCAACTCCTCAGCTGGGAGGAGTCCCTTCCCCAGGGGTCTCATTCCCTCCCCAACCTGAGCATCTCTTTCTGTCTTCTTCAGGAAGATCTGGAATATCTTTGCCATCTGAGCCAGCCCCTTTCGCAAGACAGAGGGCACCCAGAGCCAGTCACATGATAGACAGTGCAGGTGGCTTCTAGAAGGTGGTCTTCAGTGTCTTTGAGGATGCCCTTTCTCTCTCTGGCAGCCCGGGCAAATGGAAGTGTTGGGGTTTTTGGAAAATCATCTCTGGGAGTTGAGCAGAACCAGCTGTTTCTAGAGAAACAGAGAATAAAGATGCCATAATGGGCTGGGGGCCTTGGCTCTTGGGGGGACCTATTCCAGAGTGGGAACTAGGGTGGGGAAAGCAGTTCGGAGGAGATAGAGGCCCATGTCCATGGCTGCTGACTGAGGTCTGATGGGAAGATAGGGGAGCACGTCCTGGAGCTGCACTTACTTATAATTGATCTGCTGCTGTCGGATTTAAGGTTACTTTGCCTAGAATAACTCCTGTTTTTCCTCTTTCCCGGGGGAGCCTTCACACAGGAGAGGGAGTGTGGCAGAGTGTGCTGTGAAGAGCACAGGCCAGGGGCAGAGGCGTAGGTGGTCTCTGCTAGTAGCTCTGTGGTCCTGGGCGTGCCATGAACCATTTGAGTCTCTGCTTCCTTGGCTGTCACATGTTTTAATAGCACCTTTCTGTGTCCTCTGAAGATGTGGTGGCGCGGATCAGGTGAGCTAGTAGACATAACTGTGCTTTGACAAAATTAAAAGTGACACACAAATAAAAGTGAAAATTTGAACAGCAGTGAGGAGATGGTGGAGGGGCTGTCCACGGTGGGGCCTGAGGGTCTTTGAGGGAGACCTGCAGATTCCTCTCCTGAACATGGGGTAAAGTCCCTGCTGGAGCCCCACAGCTGGTACAGGGCCTCCTTGACTCCCGCACCAAAGAGGCCCTGACAAGGACTTGCTAGGCCCCTAGCAATATTCACAATAGAATTCACAATAGGATTTAACAAGCCAGCTCTGGACCCAGATGGCATTGAGCTGAGTGTTTTCCTGGAGAGAGGAGAAGGGGTCTTTCCATGTGGATTTCCCCTAAGTATAGACGCTGGCCCAGCAATGCCAAGAACTGAGACACCCTGTGCCTAGAAATGTGGACACTGTGAACTTCTGGCTGGCTGCTTATAGCTCGATTATATGCCCTTTTCAACTCTGACACTTTTAGAGTCTGGCAATCCTTGAGAGCATTTATTTCCTCCAACTTGGGTGGGAGCTTTACCTTTGCCCTCATTCTAGACATCTGAAGGGTTAGAATCCAGAGGCATGACCTTGCTTCAGCGGACCTGAGTCTTCGTCTGCCTGCCTCAAGTCCTTGCTCCGTGAGTATCCTCAGCTCTCCCTGCAACTTCAAATCTGGAAAAGGCGCCGGGCACCGTGGCTCACACCCGTAATCCCAGCACTTTGGGTGGCCGAGGTGGGTGGATCACCTGAGGTCAGGAGTTCCAGACCACATGGTGAAACCCCATCTCTACTAAAAATATACAAACTAGCTGGGTGTGGTGGCTTGTGCCTGTAATTCCAGCTACTCAGGAGGCTGAGGCAGGAGAATGGTTTGAACCCGGGAATATCTGGAAAAGGCTTCCTCAGCAAACAGACTTACAAAAATTTCCAGTTAGTTCTTTCTTTACAATTGGTCTGCTGCTTTTGGATTTAAGGCTACTTTGCCACCGTGCCTGCCCTTAACTCTCAGTTAAATATTTAACACACATAGCATGTACTATGCATCAGACACGGTTCTAAGCATTTTTCTACAATACGAATTAATTTTCACAAAACCCTTACCGGGTAGGCACGCTCAACCCCATTTTGCTTTGCAGGACTCGGGGCAGATTTGCCTACAATAATGGGCATAGAATTTAACCCAGGCCCTGCCTGGGGAAATTAGCCTATGACCCCAGCTTTCTTCTGCCCACCGGTGGGTGGTAATTCCAATAGCACCATATGCTTCTGATGGTTTTCTTGAGAGCAGCAGGAATTCCTGATCTACTGGCAAGAAGGAGAAATGAAGCAAGGCCAGAACTCTGCCCAACGCCTTTGTTCAGGCTCAGCTCCACTCAGGACGTGCATCTGCGTTCTCGTCCCCCAGGTTGGTCTCTTCCTTGACTCCTTCAAGAGCCCAGTCTACAAGAGAATGGAGCCACTCTTTCCCTAACCGTACTCTCCCCCCTCCCCTCCCTGGGGAAGTCCCGATGAGCCATTGTTCTCCCAACTTCAGCTATTGGGCCTCTCTTGGCAGGGACCTAGCGGCGTCTCTTATTTACCCATTAACAATTAAGCTCCAGGCATTTGACATATAAACACAGAAAACATCAGCATTATTACAGCGAAGATTTCAAAAGCTCTTTGGCAGGGAAGGGCTTGAATATTTACTTAACAAAGGAATTCCTTACGTTGGTTTTAAGAAAGAATTCACAATAGGATTTAACAAGCCAGCTTCTCCAGTAAATAAAAAACATTCTTTTACTCATTCAGAATATGATTTGTGTTTTTAAAAATGTGGCTCACAGCTTTTCAAGAGAACACTTGCGGCATTTTCCCTGAGAGCTCTGTTCCCACATTATCTTTCAGTGTTTTCACTTGTTGAGATGGTCCCTCATTAAGCAGAGAGAGATAATAGATTCCGGGCAGGGCAGGGTGGGCGTTGTGCCTTAGGATATAAGATTCCACCCTTAGAGACTCTTTCTTTTGTTTCAAGTTTGATTTCTACAGATGGGTTTCTTGTATTATACAAGAAGAGTGTTGCTAAGTATATCTTCCATGACTAGTGGGGCTTAAGCCAGCCTGTTAGAGTACTGGGGCCTTGGGAAGAGGAGGGGGGAAAGGGGAGAAAGAACACAGGTAAGTTTATTGTGGGAAAGAAGGGATAGTCAGCCAGGCGAGGTGGCTCATGCTGGTAATCCCAGCACTTTGGGAAGCCGAGGAATGAGGTCAGGAGTTCGAGACCAGCCTGATGAAACCCTGTCTCTGTATTAAAAAAAAAAAAAGGAGGGATAGTCACCTCTTCACTTGTTTGTTAATAATGACTCATATTCCTACCATTGCCAGACATTTGGAATATAAAGGTAAATAAGAAAATAGGATAGTTAAGAGTGCAGTGGCTCACGCCTGTAATCCCAGCACTTTGGGAGTCCTAGGGGTTGGATTACCTGAGGTCAGGAGTTCAAGACCAGCCTGACCAACATGGTGAAACCCCGTCTCTACTAAAAATACAAAAAATTAGCTGGGCATGGTGGCGCGTGCCTGTAATCCCAGCTACTCGGGAGGCTGAGGCAGGAGAATTGCCTGAGCCCAGGAGGCGGAGGTTGCGGTGAGCCGGGATTGCGCCATTGCACTCCAGCCTGGGTAACAAGAGCGAAACTCCGTCTCAAAAAAAAAAAAAAAAAAAAAAAAAAAAGCCAATCAAGGCAGATCAATGTTTAAGCTACTCACTTAAGCAAGGTAAAAAGTCCAGATGGGGTGCCCAATTAAATCAATTAGATATGGTGACGGTGTTGGAGAAGGCACCATGGAGTTGCCAATGGAGTTTCCAAGCATGAGAAAGAATAACAATTTTTTAAAGGGTTGGGTGCAGTAGCTCATGTCTGTAATCCTAGTACTGTGGGAGGCTGAGGTGTGAGGATTGCTTGAGGCCAGAATTCCAGGCCAGCCTGGGCAACATAGTGAGCCTCCTTTCTACAAAAATTTAAAAATTAGCTGGGTGTGGTGGTGGGCTCCTGTAGTCCCAGCTACTCAGAAGCTGACTGGGAGGATTGCTTGAGCCCAGGAGGTCAAGGCTGCAGTGAGCTATGATTGTGCCACTGCACTCCAGCCTGGGTGATAGAGGGAGACCCTGTATCTAAAAAAAAAGAAAAGAAAAAACAAGAAAAATTCCTAACACTTGTATTTGCTGTGTGCCCAACATTATATAATACTAAGCATCTTGTATTTTAACTCACATAGTCTTCACAAAAATATAAGGAAAGTGCTATTGCTATCCTTATTCTACAGAATAACGAACAGGCTCATAGAAGTCAGGGAGGTAATTTGCTAAAGCCCAGCAGATAGCGAGTGGTGGAAATAGGAGAAAAACCCAGGCTTTCCAGCTCCAGAGCTCGTGGTTAGTGTCTTAACCACTATGATGTATTTTTGTATACAAAGGCAGTTCTTGTTTTGACTATGAAATATTTAAAATAACAAGAAAAATGCAAAGAATAACATAATGAAGGTCCATGAATCATCACTAAATTTCTATATTTTGCCTTGCTTACTTCATTTTTCTTTTCTTTTCTTTCTTTCTTTTTTTTTTTTTGAGATGGAGTTTTACTCTTGCTGCCCAGGCTGGGGTGCAATGGCATGGTCTCAGCTCACTGCAACCTCTATCTCCATGGTTCAAGTGATTCTTTCGCCTCAGCCTCCCAAGTAGCTGGGATTACAGGTGCTTGCCACCATGCCTGGCTAATTTTGTATTTTTAGTAGAGATGCGGTTTCACTATGTTGGCCAGGCTGGTCTCAAACTCCTGACATCAGGTTATTGGTCAGCCTCCCAAAGTGCTGGGATTACAGGTGTGAGGCACCATGCTGAGCCCATTTTTCTTATAAAGAAAAGAAGTTACAGACACAGTGGAAATTCCCGTGTGTATTGTACCCCAAGACAACCATCTTGAATTCCTGTTTCTGTTTTCCAGGCATGTATTTATACTATTAAAGCATATGTAGATGTCTAACAATATATAACAGTGTTTTGCGTGTTTCAAACTGGTGTAACTAGTGTCATTTTTACAGCTTGCTTTTATATTCCACATTATATTTTTGAGATTTTTATCTTTGTTAATTCTACATAATTCTTTTTTTTTTATTTTTAGAGAGGGGTTTCACCATATTGACCAGGCTCGTCTCGAACACTTGACCTCAAGTGATCCACCCACCTCAGCCTCCCAAAGTGCTAAGATTACAGGCATGAGCTGCTGCGCCTGGCCTAATTCCACATAATTCTAAATTCATTTATTTGAAAGATTATTAACAGGACAGGTGCAGTGGCTTGACCCTGTAATCCAAGCACTTTGGGAGGCTCAAGCGAGCCACCTGCCTCAAGCTCCCAAGTAGGTGGGACTACAGGGACACACCCCCACTTCTGCTCTTTTTTTTTTAATTAATATTTTTTGTAGAGTTGGGGTCTTACTATGTTGCCCAGGCTGGTCTCAAGGTATCCTCCTGCCTTGGCCTCCCAAAGCTCTG